TATGTATATTGACTGAACAATTTCTAGTGTCACATAATGCCTTTTTTGTGATATAAATACGACTGCACAGCGTGAAAATGAAATCGTCAAAAATAGATATTTCTTAGCTGAACAAACAATATGTACGTATACTGATCAAACCAGAAGTATTGAAGCAATCTCAAGACTAAAATATGTTTACCAAATAATTAAAAATGTTTGCTTGGAGACGCTTTAAATAAAGTAAAATATTATCGCAGTTCTGCTTTCAACAAAGGAACTAATGAAATATTCTGAAAGCAGCTGTGCATTACGACACTGATAAAACTTTTAGTGTATTCAGATATGCACTCAGAAAACATTGGATGGGGCCAACATAAGCCTTATACCTTCAAACGATGACGTCTATCAGATATCTGCCATGAAAGGATATCAGTGGACAAATCATTGGAATATAATGAAGAACTAAAGAAAAGGGAACAGTGCAACTCCTTAGAGGAAATGATAGGCGTATCTGTAAATGGTATTCAGAAAATTATCATTTGAAATCTTACAGTTGCGGAGTTTTGAAAGTTTGACTAAATTCAAGGCGGATTTCCTGAAGAACCAACGTCAACAGAGATCCATGGTCCTACACGTAACATAGAGCATTACTTCTTAGATAATTCATGCATGAACACAACTAACTACAGACTTGTCTGTCTTGAAACCCCTAAGCCATTTCGGTGGTTTACATTCAATGTTAACATCTAAATAGTCTTAAATTAGGGTAAGCTGGCTGGCCAATACTTCTCAGTGTACAATAGTTATACAAAAGATTTTGGTTTATCATGAAACCTTAGTGTGTGCAAGCACCTGATTATATTTGCAAACCTTGAAAAAAACAAATTTAAACAAATGCTAGACGAATATTGTATTTTCATAGTAATGAACGGCTAGAATAAATCATTATCACCAACGTATTACACATAGAAATAGTGACATATAAGTTGAAGAAAAGCTGAATAAAAACATTTTCAACAATTCATATTGATTTAATATACCAATTTGAATACACTTTCTCCAGTTTGTTTTCAAAAACTTACAAGTTTTACGTATCCTTTCTCATCAAGAAGCAGATTTTCTGGCTTCAAATCACGATAAAGTATTCCTTGTGTATGCAGGTAAGTGAATGCTTCCAAAACACAAGCAACCACAAATCGTGTCATGACATCATCAAATCTACCTCTGGAAGGAAAACGGAAGAATGTATTTGATTTGATTTGTAAGTTATGAAGACAAGAAGATGAAAAGCGATTACAATAGAATAAGTAACATATGGGAATATGAACAAATTCATGCAATAATGAATGTCAACATTAAAAAGACTTAAGTTCCTTCCGTAATATGAGTGTATGTAGTGATATCACGAAGTCGTTTAATCAGATAACTCTAGAAGTTGCAGTGGCTCGCCGACTCACCGCAGTTTATATCATCATTTGTGACATTTAAAATTATGAAGACTTGAAAAAGGAATTGTTGCGTTCTCATACTGACTCATGGAAAACTTTTAATCCGATAGTTCCGACGGGTTATTCAAAAAACCACAAGTGTGTGTGGAACAGTGGCCTGTAATGTCACTCTTTTAAAGCTATTTCTACTCCAAAATTTGGTAAAATAAGTGAACAGAGTCGTAAAGGAATGTGAACATTGAACGTTGTTTCATTGACCTTGGTCGCCATAGGCAGACAACTCGAAGGCGCTAATGATTCAGTCGTGTACTAGTTGGAAGAAGACGAAAGAATACAAATAAAAGTACAGTATATTCCTTGTAAAACATTCGTTTATAAGCTCTGTATGAAATATCGAATTGAACTGCCAAACGATGCAAGTTTTTATTGGTCCTTTTGTTTTGGAGTTAAAGTCGATAAACGTACCTAGTAATTATCGATTCGGAGCGTCTTCGTAAATAATAGGAACTTAGAGTTAAGTTCCTTGACAATTTTTATTCTTCTGTTTCTTTTCTGGAGCGCCTTCTGGAGAGTACTTACTTGGTCTGCCGTCAGCATCTTTGGACACGGATTATCGCAACGGAATTTGGATCTTTTGGTGACGTTGGGCCAAAGAAGGGACGTGAGACTTTGGAAGCAGGCAGAAAAGTAAGTGATTTTGAGTTGCCTGTTATTTGTAATGATGTGTATGATGCTCAGCATGATAACCTTGATGTTCGTGTTTCGCCGTCTAGAGATAGTAGGGTTTCAAGCTACCAAAATTTGAGCCTCGGTATTTTGATGGAAACCCAGCCGACTATCCACAGTTTGTCAAAGAGTTCAAAGTCATGTTGAGTGGTTTGGTGATAAACGACGAAATGAATTTGATGTATTTATTGAGGCATTGCACTGGTGTTGCTGCAAGAGCTATACAGTGCTGCAAGATTATACCCCCAAACGAAGGATGCACTGAGGCCATGAGAATATTACGTCAAAGGTTCGGGAGGCCATTAATGATATCCAGGAGTGTTTTTGAGACCGTTAAGGGTAGTGGTGTGCAGTTAAACGATAACTCCGAGGAACTCGCAAAGTTTTTGGGTATTTTAATGGTGTACAGAAACACTGTCATTTCTGTTAGCTGTTTGGATGAGTTGAAGTCAAGCTCTCTTCTTGAGGCAATCGCTAAGAGATTACTCTTCTGCTTACAAAGAAAGTTCATAAAGGTCAGCTCCCGTTTAGAAGAGGATGGTTTAGAGCCCGAGTTCGATGATATTGTGAGACTGGTAAAAGATAGTGTCAACCAGGTGACGGGCAAGTTTGTCAGCATTTTGCATTCAACAGTAGAACCTAAGAAATTAGTGAATATAATGAAGTCACTTGTAGTAAAGGCACAAGGTATTGCTAGTCGTGGTAAAGGTATAAAACCTTTAAGGATTCATGAAAGAGAACCTAAGTCATCTACTGCTGTTATTAAAGAGGTCGAAAATGATGAAGTCGACCATACAAACTGTGGTAAAGTGAATATATAATGATCATGATAGTGCACATTTGTCTTTGGTTGATCATGATCAGACGAACAGAATGCCTACTACTACTGAGTTAAACAAAGGTTCTGTGTAACTTAAACGTGAAGTAGAATTAAAGGCAGATGCGGTGGAAGAAGGTGTGGATGCTCATAAAACCGTCAGTGTAAATGATCCGTGTGTAGTCCACTTATCGAAAGATTTAACGCTAAACTGGAGCTCATCATAAAAGGTAGGAGTGGTGGTAATCCTGTGGTTAGACAAGCTTCTAAAGGTCGAACAACAACAGCTTCTGATGCACTGCTAAGTTCATTAACTTGTGTCAGTCAGTCGTCGTTGGTGTTGTCATCCACAGTAAAAGGGACGTCCATGAACTGACGCGTCTTATGTTGTAGTTATGCTAGTATCGGTCCGTTTGAAAGGATGAAAGTTAATAGCCAGTTTAGTGATAAGCCAGCTGTGTAAGAGGGGGTAATTGTCAAACTGACTTGCACGAATAAAAGCCTTCCAGGATTCAAGTTACTATTTGAATGTTATTATCTTTGGTGTAAATTACTATGTGCCTTCGCTTGGCTGGTCAGATACGTCGTATGTTTGTTAGTCATCTATATTCGACGATATAATGTCACGGATGTGTCACCATTCAGAGTTGAGGATATAGATGATAGAATGAGTTCAGCACATGAACTCAGCAACGATTTTCCAACTTGGGGCGTCAACCTGAGAAGGGCTGTAGGCGTACTGCTGTAAGTGCTACAATTCTTCAAGAGTAGTATGTCGAAGCACAGTCCGTCGTACTTGGTGTTATTTTATACATATGTTCATGTTGTATATGTTGATTTGGTGTCATCTCTCATCTATCTATTGGTTAATTTTGTTTGTGTCCGGACCTCTTTCCACATGGATCGACAACCTGAGAAGGAATGTAGGCGTATTGTTGTAAGTCCTACAATTCTTTAATGGTATCGTTTCAAGGCAGAATCCACAACATTTGATGTATTGATTGTACACATATTTGTGTTAAGTAATTGAGTGGGTTCCAATTCATCTGATTGTTGGTTAAATATATAGTTGTTGCATTGTGTTAATCATCTTGTAATGTTATTGTAAGTACTTCCGAAGTCGTTTCTAGTCTCCTACAATTGTTTTTTATTGGTCCTTGTGTTTTAGAGTTAAAGTCGATTCGGAGAGTCTTCGCAAATAATAGGAACTTGGGGTTAAGTTCCTTGACAAGAGTCTTGATATAAAATTAGAAAATTTTTCGCATATTAAACCAACAGAATTTGATTTGTACTCACGAACAAATGGATTGTTACAGGAACTACGAAATTTAATCGGAGTAAGGGAAAATAAAGATTTTAAAAATTTATGTTGTAGAAAACTTCATCAAACAAACTATAACCTCAGAAAGATCGGTTTACACCAACATGGTTTCAGAAATGAACTTATTTCAGTAATAACAGATATTATATAAAATATTAATTTATACTTATACGCGACAATATATATGCATATTGAGTGTTACAACTGATAAGGGAATTCTTAATATGTTTTTCGATTAGAGAGGAGTATAGCGATCTCAAAAACAGAGAAAAAAGGTAATTCCGACAAGAGATAATACGTAATTGTCTGGAGAAGAATTAATTTTGTATTCTATGCCGATAAACTAACTTTTTCATTAATATATATTTAGCAAGACAAATAAAAGTAACCTGCATAATAGAAATCATTATCATTTAGAAAAGACAGATAATCATATATATATATATATATATATATATATATAACAAATGTTTCCTTCTTGTAAACCGCTGCCAAGGGTGACTTCAAAACAACTAGACATACACTTATTTACTCATGTGTTTTAAAGCAGATTATTTTTTTATTATTTTTTTTTGATTTACAGCTTGATTCCACACTGTATTTTTGGTACAAGTATGGAATTTTCAGTATGGATGCATATATGACTCGAAAATTTTCAGACAAATAAATTCACAACAAAGAATACTAGAAATATTACAACTGAATCAAGGCACCTCCTTACAAACCTTTCAAGGACATGATAAAATATCTTCAAAGAGCAACTTTCAACCGGCCTGAAACCGTGAGTGATATCAATGTTAGGCGAACAAGAGCAGTGGAAAACCACACTCACAAATTAGTGCTGTTCACTAGATAGATATACATGATCTAAGCATAAGACAGTTTTTTCGTGTGAACTGTGTTTCTGAGTTTAGTAGATCAAATGGTAAAAAACATGCGAAAACTGGTCGGTTACTTGAACGTATAGTAAATGCCCATAATCCAAGATTATTATCATCTTGATACTCCTAGCAAGTATTATGAACTACTCATAGCAGCTAGAGGTATGTCTTTGAAGTGATAATAACTTTGAAATTGGCCCTAGCGTTCATCAACATATATATATATCGCCTGGTTTACAGTTTGTCAAGATTTATCGTAAAACGGTCAGGAGTATGTTTGAGACGAGTGTTTCAGATAGGAAACCATTTTTCCATGGATGAATATTCGCAGTTAACATCGTGACAAGCCAAAATTCAAGCACGATCACCTGGTTAGTGCGCTAAACCCTTTCAGTTATTATTAAATATACTTTTACCAATCAAGTAGGTTTAAATTCACTTCCCACAGCTTCGACCAACAGCTGACATTGCATGTACTTGTATTTTATCGGTAAACAAGTGCATATGGACAGTACGCTGACTGTAAACTGTTTGAATCTAGTAACGCTTTATTGAATTCACAGGTTGAATAATCAATACAAACATGTTCATATCATGCAAAACTTCTCTTATGTATTCTTATTTAAAATTATGATCAGTAAATGGTTAAAGTAGATTCACTATAGGTTTTACAGAAACGATCATGACTAAAGGTCTAATGCATAATCACACTTACCTCGCGTGATACACTTTAACAGTAATTAGAATTAAGATTTCAGCACTGTGACTTAACCTTTTACACAGGATGATAATTTTGACAAAACAGTCACTCCAACTGTATTATTCGCTTCAGCCTATCGTTCTACGATGGACTGTAATTATTACGAATTTCGAATAATGTCAATCCCATTATTAGGCTGTATACACCATAACAGGATGCGATACAATCTGCATTGTAATCCATGTATTTGTCCCTATAGGTACTTTGGGTAAATAAAACATCCTTGTGAAATAGATCAGTTTTGCTTGTTTTAAATTGGAATTTTCACCAAGCTTTCGAAGACAACTGACATTTTAGTGATCAGTATGTATGTATCAATTATCTACTCCAATGCTCTGAGGTGGAAAGATTAGAAAGTTAACATATGAAGTGTCTAAACACGTTAAATCACAAGTGCCTTCATAGTACTGCGTACTGCTGTCGTGAAACCATGTAATTGACGTCTATGTCAGGAATAAGGCTTTAATAACAGAAGACGAGTGAATATGTCCCGACCGAATTGTCTTCTCAGCATATCAACTTACACTATATTTTGGTAAATATGTGGGATTCAATTTCCAGAAAGTTAAAACATATTCAATTAAGGAGCAACATCAGAGATTGAAGTTTTCTACTGCTTTTTTGGGAAGTTTTAGATCGTGTGAACTGCCTTGACGGAGTTAATGCAACTAAAACCTCTGGATTTCGAGGATACAGCGTGACAATGATCTCTGTAGCACAGCTCTATTCACCTGGAAGGCTTAGAGTCGATAACACTGTTTTGTTAAGCTTTCCAGCAGTTAAAAAATAATGAGCCCTAATGAAATAAGTATCGTTTGCTCAATCAATGCCCAAGAGTTTTCAAAAAGTTAACTCTCAAAAGAAATTAATGCACCTGAACAGTATTTATTATTAAAAGGCATATAACTTCTCAAAATGATACCTCTTTTAAACACAAGATAGAAAACATCAATTTGACAAATTTTTTACCTACCTATTTCGTAAAACTGTCCATAATTCTCCACCCAAACAGGCTTCCAACAGCATATATACAAATTTGTTGTCTTTGTAAGTACAATAAAGTCTAAAGTTTTGAGGAAGGAAAAAAATCAACGAAGGTTATTCTATTTTGTAGTAGCAGACATAGTAATAGAGTGTCTATGCGTCTTTAAATCTTCATATTGTTAAAACTTCAGAGATGGTTTTGCTGATCTTCAAACTAACATCGTTTTTTATGTCTCCTTATTCTAAAATACGAAAATATTTTAAGACTGGTAATTATTTTAATATATTATATGCCCTTAATATCCTGGTTGTATAGATGACCTCGAAACAAGATATCATTAATGTACTATTGAATTCAGTAGAAGTATACGTTTTAAAGAAGTATACGTGATACAATGAGTCATCCTTTCAATGAATGGCCACATAGTCAGTATCATTATTCCTTGATTTACTTATCACTTCTAGATCAATATGACCTTGAAGTTATGTGCCTTTCCTTTTCGTTATATGAAAATATTTTATACTATGCAGTTAAACAATCTTTGGATAGTAAGGACTAGTGATATCACTTGCTTAGTAGTAACATAATCTACGAGTAATACTCAACTGTGGACATATTATCGAGTTGAAATGGGCGGTCACCACCATTTGGAACCGATAAAACCGCAAAAGTCTGTGTTTGGTGACATGAGAATGCAGTTGTTCCTAACAGTTGTAATGATTGATAATCCCGAATTCTGTTCCCATGATGGTTTACAAAGACTACGCTTTCTAACTATGTACTTATGAACAAATTTTACAAATACTGATTGTTTAATTTGCATAAATTCTAAGAGAACTCATTTCTAATTTCCACACTGAAGTGTATGTCTCAGTCAAAGTAACCAAAAATACATGGAAGACATCCCTGCATTTTGTAGTTAATTCGCAGTTATGTGAAAATCAGCAATCAGGAAATCAACAATCTTTTTATAATCGTTTTTTATTCCTTTACATTCCCAGTGGAAATTTCGGTAGCAGTGGTGTTTATTTTTACGGGAAGGTGCTTCTAGCCTCATACCCAACCCTCCCTCTTTACCAGTCTTACTACTGGCTTAGCAAGGTAAAGGAGTGAGTTAGCCGGGGATAGAACCCCGGACCACATGTGTGGTCGGCGAGCGTTCTGCCGTTGTGCCACCGACGCCGTATTATCGTTGTTCCGTCAAAATTACAAAATAACTAAAGCGTACTGATCATCGCTCGTGTCATTCTGTTGTTATGGATCAATTATTCACATTTTTCACAAGAATTCTCGTCATATGTTCAAATCAATCTCCTTGAATAGTGTAGATGGTTGCAAGGTGCAGGCTGTTCTGTGCTACTCTCCTTCAATCCTACTTGGAATCTCAAATACCTTCTATTAAAGCACACTAATAAATGATGCAGGAGACCCAATGATGAGTAATGAACGATAGCATATTATCAATGAATGATAAGAGTGATATGAATAATAATAACAGTAGTACATACCGTCATGCAATTTTGCTTCCTTTCTTGATTGACAACTGTGTCATCAAGGAGACCACATAGTGTGACCTGAATATTTTGGATTCTTAAGATACACAGTGATGGATTTTCATCTCAAACTCCAAACTCTAATTTACTAATCGCGTATTTGATTCTAGTAGGGGCATTTGCCACTCCCAGTAGCAATAATAATAGACTTAAGTAGAGTTAAATGTTACAAGCAGAAAAAATGAATGTACCACCTGGGAAACTGAGCGACTCTAGAGATAAATGTTTGCCACAGTTTTCTCCTAACCAATATGGAACTATAGCTACACAGATGACAGATTTGGTATTCGTAATTTCGCAACTTTCAATGAAGTCATCATACAAGTGTCAACAAATTAGAACTTTGCATATGCGTTTCATCATAAAAGTTCTTTTACAAGATGTTTCCATTATTTATGGTTGTGCGCACACCTATACTTGTGCAGTGGATACATTCAGCTAAAGCCTTGTATTCCATTCGGAACGAAGGGGGCGAATAATAAATATGTGACACTACTTTCCAAACCAGTAGTTGGAGTTTGGATCCATAAAAAAGTGCAAGACAGTAAAATAGACATACAGAAAGTTTATTACTTGTGTGAAATATAGCACCGCATAATTCATCCTAACATCTAACAGTAAGCATACTACACCAAAACGTCATTCTACATGCCTCAGTGTAAATCGACTAATCAACCTAACAAGAAGTCATTCTTGACAGAAACAGCTTAGATCTGAACTCTGATCACACTTTTAAATGATGTGATTTCGAAATTTAGAAAAAGGGAAAATGAATTTCAATTCTAACATCTATGAGCAAGTGATGATGAACGCCTTGAAGAATGACGATGAATGTCTTCTCAAAGACAACAAACCTAAGGACTAAAACAAACTATTCTACCTTCATCACTACCTTCATTATTGAAGATAACTGTCAACAAACGATAGCAGAGTTTTCTACATTAAATATCTGATGAATTCATTGGCAAACAGTTCCACAAAAGCCAAATTATCTTAAAGTGATAAACATCATGGTTATATTATCGCATGACTGTTCATTCAAGATTATACTGTTACCCGTTTTCAATCAATATTAATAATAATGTTCCATATGCAAACCGTAATAGAATAACTTCAAAGCAAACAATCTAGCATATCAATGGGAAATCAACACCTTTGATTGTATTATTTATTCACTCACCGACAAATAAATGGACAACGAAGTTCCAGCATTATTTGTCTTTCTGAACAAATGTGCTCTTGTTGACGTGTATGCACGATATGCTGCTTTTTCATTCTTTTTAAAGCGAAGGTTTTACTTCTATCTTTCTTCCAAACAACCTTCATATGTAGAACAATTTACAAACAAATGAGAAGAAAATTAAAAATAAATTAATACATAGCTAAGAAAACGCTAATAAAACTGTTTTTTCCCAAAAATTAAAAATAATGTCTATCTAAGCTGACTTTGATACAACATTCGTGTTTAATTAGCTGAATAGATTTACTCAGACCGCCTGCACTTAATCTTTCCTACATGGTGTAACGGTGACAATATTCTTTTGGCTTATTTTTGTTTTTTATTCAATCTAGTGTTCATTGAAGCTATTGTTCACCTAAATAAATCACATAAACGACCAAACATATAGCTTAGAACAGTTAATCAGTTCAGGGGACAGAATGCTTCAGAGGAAGAATACTCAAAAAGGGAATTTATTGATATATATCTCTGTCTATATGTATATATATATATATATAACTGCTCAGTTTAGCATAAGTACAAACTCTTAATGTCTTTTTTCAAATTTATGAGTTCATTTCTCTTCGTATGAATCACTCTACTATGCTTATTTGATGCATGACAGACGAAGTGAAAATAAAAAAGCGTTTGTATATATTAACATAACCATAATTTACTGAATTCATCCATTTGATTATTTTTACGAAAGTCAACAAAATTTACAGCCACATAAAACAAGGCTATTTATGCATTGATGCTTCGGTTGGTTATGAGTCAAAATTTGGATTGTCTCTGCTTTTATTTTTACTCCTTTGCATTCCAAGCCAAAGATGTAGCTTTAAGCTTGAGCTTACGAGTTTCAATAACAATGGCGTTATTCCCTTTATACGGGATGGGGATTGGTAGACTCGCTCCCATTCTTTCCGCTCTACCGGGTTAACACTAACTAGAAGTACATCCTCCAGGGTTCGAACCCTGGACAACAATTTTGGTTGGTGAGAATCCTATAGCTGAACCACCGATGCACTTTGTTTCGCATAAAAGCTGACAAACAGCCCATCCAGTATAGTGGCCATACAGTTAAAAATTAATATTGTACTTCAGTTTTACTGAATACATTCTTCTGCATACTCAGTGAATCTTACTTTACTTTGAATATCTCATGTAATTAACAAGAGGTAAGAAAATCCTCAGCACATGATAATATTGACAAAACGTCAAATATACTTTACGACAAACAGCGAATCGCAAATCTCTTAACCATATAAAAGATAAACTGGATGCTCACCAATTCTACACAGCCGAATCCGCCAACTCCTAAAACAGTAATCGGCTCCAAATCATCTTTTTCAATTTCAACGCACGAAAAGGAATCTTTTGACTGTTGTCGTACAACCACCTGCGGACTTGTGGTTACTTCTTTCGGTAAGGATTCTTTGAATGATTGAAAATTTGTTGATATTACCCTAAAATTTATAAAATATGAGCGAATGGAAGTTGATAGTTATACTTTTACACTATACGGAGAATTAAACAAATAAGTCAGTATAGTCAAGCAGATGGATATGCGCAGTAATGGTAATAACCCATTGAAAGTCAGCTGATACCACATTGCACAAATACTGTGATATTCTAATATGTACAATAAATTGCATTATTCAATATTCTTATTTCATAAATGCAAATAGTTGCATAAACATAAGCCTGTATTAAAGAAAGTTTTAACAAATACTAGACAGATATGGCTACAACAGGAAGACACTTTTAGAACTCCTTCACAGAAGAAACAGTTTGACAGTATCAGCCGTATAAATAAAACCCAATTTATCAATCACTGAATATGGTAGTTGAAGTTTGCTCTGAAGATATCACCTAGTAGGGCGAAAAAAGCTTCGCAAATTAACTATCCAGCTCAGAGAACACTACCACATCAAAAACATCGTTCTAAGTACTACAGACTCTTCACTGTTTTCTTAACAGCCAAAAATAGGATAATATATCCTCTTGTACGGCGATTCTTATTTTTACTACAAAATATTGTTTATGTTCACTAAAGCCTTAATTAATTTTCCCCATATTATTTTGTTTAATGTCGATATGAATTATGATAATTGCAACTGGCAAGACTTATTAGGTAGTTTAGCAAACAATACTAATAATAAGTTATATAATGAATCTAGAAACTGAACAGAGATTCCTCGGACGAAATTAAAGTGTTAAATATCAAGTCAAGCTTGTCCATTTATTTACCAGTTCTTTACAGTAAAATAAGAGTATCTTTAGAAAATATCAAGATTATTAAATTGTTTATTTGCAAACATGTCAAACTATCATTCTTTGAGCATGTGACAACAGATTGGTAACTTTATTGCACTTGACTAGGTGTTTAGGGTGTCTTCGTCTTTGATCCCTTTTACTTCTATGCAATTAAGGAGGAAGTACATTATCAGCAAAAGCGCTGGTTTGCTATACAACTTGAATAATTCAGTTTGGCTGACAAGTTGTCGTAGCTCACAGATCACAGATCAGTGAACCAGTAGATAAAATTATCACAAAGGGGTAAAACATATATTCAAGAAAAAGTTTCCATCCTCATTATTAAACACTGATCACAATGCCTAAATGTGTAAACAGGAAATGTATCGTAAAAATAGCGACGAAATGAAAAGATTCCCACTTTCAGTACTATAGAATTTATGCTGAATATGTCATTTAAACAAATACACACACACATATCAACGTTCAATAGGATAAAAACTTACCCAACAGGAGAACGACTGACATCGCCATATGTTTTTGATTTGATCTCATTCAAATCTCCAATAAGGTAGATGAAATTACTGTAAAATAGTTAAGGAAAATAAAAAATCATCCATAAATCAACATGCAATCAATTCCCTACATTAATTTTGAATTTAGTAAGTGAAATACATTTTGCAGTATGCAGATGACATTACTGTGTTCTGTTGTTTTCTTCTCAGCTGCATACAAGCCAATAAAAGTCTTAGCTGTTGATATGAGTATAAAACTTGGGTACTGTGGCAGAGTATAACTCCATTATGGATAAAATTTATTTTGAAAAATCACACAGTGTTGTTATACAGTAATATTTACTGATAACATTTCGATTATGATTATGAGCAATAAATTGTACCCGAAACGTCATCAGTAAATATTACTGTATAATAGTGTGTGATTTATCAAAAGAAAATCTTATTCATAATAAAAGTCTTAGCTATTTATAACGAAATAAAGGTTGACGTACTTCATTGATATACAAATTCATCAGTCGTGTGATCACAGGAAAGTATGAGTATTCGTAATGGTCAACTTTTTAGAAGGGCTATACATACAATTTTTTTTACTATTCTGAAAATAGCTTCATTCCACACCATATTTTTGGTACAACTATGGAATTTTCAGCATGTGATATCGGTAGCCAAAATTTTGCAGGCCGACCATTGATATCAGGTATGCGTCGGCAGGGGGGCGAACTCTCAGATCCTAACTGCTGTGCCACCGAAGCACCTGGCGCCGGGTTCAGGGTGGTCAAGAATGATCTGATCCCGGGTGGAGGCTCACCATTGCACCTTGGTGGGTTGCAACTCGCGACGGAACCTAATCGGGTGCGGTGACAGCACCAGAAACGTGGTCAGTTATCCCAGTAAGGGGTTTGTATGGATTTGATTGATTGGTTATTGGATTTAATTATGAGCTGACATCGGTTAGAGAACCAATGGAAAACCTGGGAGTACTGGGTAGCTGTTTCGTCGTAGTTTGGGACTCTTCATCAGCTGTATAAATTAGTTTTCGTGAATGCAGTAAAATCAAGTTGAACAAGAAATTGAATCCAATTTACGATCAACAATTCATAATCACAGTTAAAACACCAATAATATGGAAAAGTCGGAAGAAACACTCCAAGTATTATTACAAAAGCTAACAAACTTGTACAGTTTGCGACACTTAACAGATCTTCAAGATAATGTTTCTTTATGGTGGTAGAATATTCAGATTTTCCTGTCCGAATCTTAGTGACTACTTTGATTTTTTGCATTTGATAATGAGGGACGCCTGTTTTGAAATAGATGATAATGCTGTCTCATTGCTAAAATCTTTATCGTAAAGTAGGATTCAAATTTGTGACCAAATGGCCAAGCCTTCAGCAGCTAATCCAGTACTTCAAATAGACGAAGAAACAGAAAGACTTTTCTATCTGTTAACAATCTTTAGTAAATTTTTTTAATCAAAACAACATCCGATCATTAGCGGTATGATGTATGCAGCGTAAACTACATACAATGACCCAGACACAAGTTAAACACAACGGTTAGTACTGCACTATTGAATTTTGTTCTCAATGATAACTACTGTTTGGTAATTAAAATATCAGACGAAGAAGTTTTAGGATAGGTGACCTAAACCACAAGGGTTTGTAATGTAGACGGATAGTGAAAAAAAATCACATATGTAAATGAAGCTCAGTGGAACAACATATCAATTTTTTGGATGACAAAAATGTGTTCACTGCTAGCGGTAAAACGGACTACAACTCATGAAATTTAACAATAGTAGAAATAAAACAAAAGTATATAAAGAAGAATGTTCCAGTTTTGCCGAGTAGGCTGGGTCTATTAGATACTCTCTCATTTTCCTTTGATTTTAAATCATATTTTAAATGTGCTAGAAGCCTATTCATCATACAGCAATTTATCAAGAAATTAATATGCGTTAATCCAATATTTAATCTGTTCGCTTTATGCACATATACCAATATTAAAGTCTTCCTGGTAAAGGAGAGTAGAATACAGCAAACTGCTGTGCTTGTTTGCTCAAGTTGTACTGATATCAACCAACAGAATGGCGTAATCATATAATCATTTTTACTCACTTGGTCTTAACAAATAACACCCACGCTTTTAAGTGCCAGGATACTTTACTTGTTGGTTGTCATCATCAAGACTATTCCTGTCTGAGACACTAGCCAGTCTCACTCACTACCAATTTCACAGATATCACAGCTAAGCTGTCCAGGACAAAATACAGTCTTTAGGACCGAACTATATGCATGAGTATGTCATTGAATGGTAACGAATGTAACACTCTGCTACTGAGTGTGATGACTGAAATGTATCTTTCAGGTGTGTGATCCCATCATTAAGCTACTCAGCATAACTAGTAACCCCACCAAAGAAGAAAAAGAAACTCAGTATGCAGCATAACTCACCTTCTGTCCAATAAAAGTAAGTGAACACCACTCTCAGCCGAAATAACATTAGCACTTCGTTTCTCACATCTGAAAACAATAACAACAACATATATATATTTTGAAAATAACAATATAATTCAGTAGAGTTATGATAAGATAAAGAGATAAAATTACTTTGTATAAACAGTGTGAAGCAAGTCCCAGTGAACCTAAGTATTTTCTTTCCTGTATTGATGAATGCCTACTGAGAGAAACTAGAAATATATCTCACTAAGCTATGAGAAGGTCCGGTCCTATCCGAAAATCAATTTTAACTTTGACACTGAACAGAACGCATTTGAAATTCAAGTGGATCTTCAGCAACATGATTCCTGGGATGAATACTTTTCACTTAACATAAGCTTTCAAATGTTAGTACTTTTATAAGTGATAGGTTCACCTACACTGAACGATAGGGTATGAAATTTCTCTGTGCATTCCAAACTACAGTATATCATATCATTTGATATCATAAATGGGTTGACCTTATAATTTAATGTGATAAGCTCAGACACAGGTATGATTACAGCGTCCTGGCAACCAGATAACGTCGTTATGACTGTAGAGGAGACTTGGTGGTGGTGGTGGTATTGGTCGTCATCAACACCACATATTGGTAAACAATGTAAATATGCTTTGACAATGCAAACCATACTGTTGTTCTAATCAGCCGACCGTTTCCTATTAAGGACCGGATCCTACTTACTCTTTTTTAACTTCAGTCCACTTATACTGACAAATATGTATATATATATATACTGCTAAAATCTCACGTGTAAAGTGCTCTTTCTCCAAACCAATCTCCATCAGAAAGTTGACGGATTTCCTGTTCTTCATCTGTTCCTTCAACAGTCTGAGTAACAATAACCTATGAAGAGTATGAAATAAAAGAAAGCAAATAGACTCTTTTCAAAATATATTTTATCAATTAGGTTATTCCGATAAGAAATGATCCATTTTATATCATGCTTAACAAAGTGTGAAAAAACGTCTTGCACCTGGGAAACTACAACCGGATATTCATATTCTATATTAACTGAACTATTTTTTATTAGATAACAACATTAACCCTGATTTAATGTTGCTGTGATAATTAAACATAGTCATTGTATAGTTAAGTTATCCTATAATAATCGGTATACTTATTCTGATATGATTTACAAAGGATAGATAGAAGAAAATGGGGATGATTCATACAATACTATCTTTTTCCCCGTAAAACAGATATAGGCAGTTATCTGTGGACAAGATTGTCTGTGTGAAAGAAACTATTCAGGTTAAACAAGATAGCTGACTGTACTGACTGTCTGTTTATACTTTTAGAAAATGAAAAGAATTTACCTCAGTGAATAGTCAGTCGGTTGTTCTTCTGTGCGCTTAAAGTGCACAAATCAAGTTACCAGAATTTATCACTGACATCATTTTCACACAATATCATTGAAGCGAAGAAGTAGTCACCATTCATTACAAATTGCATTGACTCGTCCAGTGCAATCGTTACTCTACTAGCTAGAGTTATGCAAACAGTCTGTTCTCTCTGAAAATGTTGACTTTTACAAGCATATATAAACCGTTTCTTATACTAGAATAGTAGTTCATTTCAACTATCAACGGAAAGAAGAGTTTGACGGTGATTGGTTTTTATTTAAAACAATCACCATCAAACTAGAATGTTTTAGGTGGTATTACCGTAGACTTTGTTTATTCCTTTACGTTCCAAGTGGAACATAGGACTTCAGGCTAGAGGCTCGAAGTTTCAGTAGCACTGGTGTTTATTCTAACGAGATGGGGTTGCTAGCCTCGTGCCCAACCTTCCTTCTTTACCAGACTGATTACTGGTTTAGCGAGGTAAAGCAGTGCGTCGGCTGGGGATCGAACCCCTGACCACATGCATGGTTGGCATGCGTGTCGTTTACTGTAGTCAAAATAATAGTTATAGAAACTGTAGCCAGGTCAGTTGTCACTGCTACTTTCTAACTGTGTATAACATCAATGCAGACTAGTACAAAACAAGTAAATAATTAAGAACCCGATCAGAATGGTGCATCAACACAGCTAGACTGACGGATTACAACAAACTATTTGTCCAGCTGTTTTAACTTTTCCGAATGGCATAAATAGAATGACTGACTGTAACAGCTGATAAAAGAAAGCACTTTTCCCTTAAATTAAGTAAGGCCAACAAGATTAATTATCAGTAGGTTTAATTATACATCGTATATACCATAACACACTTCAGCTATTTTCTTTGATCCGTCTATAACTGACCAAATATTATTTTATTCTTTAAAGTTCCGAGTGGAATATAGGGCTCCCAGCTGGAGCTTTGAAGTTTCCGTAGTGATGGTTTTATTTTGACGGGTGATATTGCTAGCCTCAAGTCCAACCTTCCCTCCTTACCGGCCATACTACCGGCCTAGCGAGTTAAAGCAGTGAGTCGGCTAGGAATCGAATCCCAGACTATGAGCATGGCTGGTGAGCACTCCACCGTTGAACCATCGAGGCAGTGACCGAATACAGAATTGAGAAAACAAATTCTTTGGATAGAAAGTCGTACCCAGCATAAATAAATATACCAAAAATGATTCGAACTATAAGAGGAGTAAATCTACAGTCATAAAGGCTTGCTACAGCTTTCATTGTGTATTTGTTCTCATGAGCTCAAAGTCGTATGAAAAAATCACTGATATTATTACCACTATTATTATTTGAAAGAACAAAACTGTAAATTTCATATCAGATATATCTTATCCATGTTGTGCTATAGCCATGGACAGTAAAAAGAGCAACAAAATTATCCTCATATGACATAAATTACTGACTAATTCATGTAGATAAAATCCATACACTAGCTTGACAACCAGAAAAGATCGTCTTAATATTTAACAGCCATTTTCCCTAAATCAGACTGATGATATTAGCAGTACATCTGGACCAATTCAACTTAGACACCTGAATCACAACAAACTACATCAATTATTGCCAGTAACTTCGGTGGACTAGTATACTTAAAACTGAATCCCACATAGAACTGTGAGTTTTGCAAATACCCTGATTTAATTATCGTATACACTCAAACCCTTCTGTTCAAAAAAAGCCTTGTCACTAAAAGTAACTGAAATTTTAGCGCAAGTTAAAAGATAACTCCACTTACAGCGCAACCAAACTCTCCAGGGTACTGCTTGAATAACAACAGCTCCGTGTCAACTATTATTTGAAATTCCCTCACTGAGTCATTTGCCACAAAACAACTGGTGATGCTAACAGTTAAATTACTTTTGATTCTATACAAAGTCGTTTTGTTTCGTACTAACTTCGACATGGTAATAAAAGTTATCAATGTTTACAGAGTCGTATTTACTGCTAGAATAAGCTACAGTAAGTTCATAGACTCAGAACATCTTATCATCTGATGTGAAAGATTTAACACCATTTGAAAACGTCTTCGTTTAGTTCCAGTCAAAGTCACTCAGCTTCAACGTAGTTACTAATATAATTTCCAATGAAGTAAGTGTTAAATAATGCTTATTAATTAAGTTGCACTAAAGACAGCTATGTAAATTATTACTACTACATTTAATTAACAAAATGTTTTTGCGGAAAAGTAACATTTGTAATCGCGAAATCGAGCCACTCAATCACGGCTGACATTAGACTACAAACAAATTTTCCACTGATTGACAGATTCCACAACGAAAATGATGAAGAAAATGAAAAGGAAGCAACGACTTAACCAGAAACAGCATTCCGATGGAATACGGAAAATATGCTACTGATGGTGAATGGTGGCTAGCAGTGGAATCCAGGACAACGCACATTTCGTCCTATTTAGGACTCGTCACCTGGATGCACCTGGATTTCTCTGTGAGTGATGATGTTTCCATCGTGGCCCCAGTGGTCTGGTGGATAACGCTTTGGCGTTTGAAACTATGGGCACTGGGTTCGAGCCTCGGTGGGAACATCATCACTCACTGAGAAGTCCAGGTACATCCAGCTGACGAATCCCAAATAGGACGAAATTCGCATCCCGGATTCCACTGCTAGTCACCATCCACCAATTAAATACTAAATGCCCTGACATCGTCAAAGCATCTGCACAAGGAGCCGACATGTCAACCTGAAACCGAGCACTTCGCACCAGTCAATCGACGGGAAAATCAAAAATTCAATTAAAATATGCTACTGATGCTTCTAATTAAAAATTACTCTCCTCACGTTAATTAGCAACAGTGTTCACCAACAAGTGGATATGGTGAAATTTATAAATTCTAAATTAGAAAAAGTGATGATCTATCTAGTCGACTATACTCCGAATTTAAAGCGATACATTTACCATTAAATAGGTACATTATGAGTAGGATGAAATGTGTATGACAGATTCGAGTACTAACTACCGATAAAATTTTAAAATATATTTATCTGAACTCTTTACAAATAGAAACAGTGTAATTTCATATTCGCAGTAAAAATCACAGCTGTCTTCGTAAAAGAAGAAGAAAATAAAGTGTGATACCAGCTATATTTGTGGCTGGCTCAAACCATTTTTGAAGGGTCTGCAGAATATTTTATTTAGGCAAAGAAACTGAGAGATGCGTCTAGAAAGTGTCTACCACTAGTATTCTTTACCCAATAACAAGCACATCCAGTCCAATTTCATGAAGTGTACATTTCAAAAAGAAATCAGTTCAGTGAAGTCAAGACCAACGGATCCTAAAGTAAAACCTGAAAAAAGAGCAATAAGCATTGCAAAACAGGTTGTTTTAGTAACTCAATAATCCATTGTTTGCTTAGGTGCTGTAAGTGACTTCAGGTGGAAACATCACTATTTACTGAGATGCAGATCCAGTCGGCTGACGAACAGGAAGGAAGGCAGTGATGAATAAACGGTGAGTAAGGATGGGGTTTGGTCTCGTGCGACAAACACACAAATACACACACACTGCAGAGATGGAGATGGAGATAGAGAGAGCGCGCGCGCACGAGAGAGAGATGAGGAGCAAGCTGACGTGCGGAGAACGCATATTGAATCAGCATAAAGCACCCAACCGGGAATTGGTAGGACTGAGGAGATCTATACAGGAAGCCAGAGACTAACAACAAGCCGCCAGTGGATATGACGATTGTATCAATTTCATGTATGACGAACGAGACAATGTGATGTTGAGTGGTGTTAGTTAGGTGCGGGGCTGAATGATGCACACGGTGTGTTTCTGTATCGTCTCGGATAGAGTGATTGACTTGTTCAGAGTGAGTCATCTGGTGGTGTGATGTGGTTTTCAGTGTGCATGCATTTATTGTTTGTGACAGGTGTGTTGTCTTGTGGATTGTTTTCTCCAGCCACGCGGGTGTGGGTGGAGTGGCCGAGCGGTCTAAGGCTCTGGTTTAAGGTACCACTCCGAAAGGGCTTGGGTTCGAATCCCACCTCCAGTAAAATTTGCAACAACAATTGTCACAAGTCCTTCCAGACTGTCGCATCATCTGGTTCCTAACTAACACAACTAACCAAGCATACACTGATTACATCACTACCAATCAACAACACATGCGAAATCCCTCTCGTCCACACTTCCGCCCTCTTCCCTTCCATCCTCTTCCAACCTAAACAGCAGAAAAATGAATGTGTAGATACATGATCAGCTTTTTCATATCACTCAATGGTCTGTTGTTGTGCTGCAAATTTAGTAATAAAATAAAACAGTCAAACATTACAACTTTTCATCTAGTCACAATTTTGTCAAAAGGTATATGATAAAGCTTTAGGAGTACTGTATTCTATTGCCACTTAATGATTTCTTTATCACAATACATATATATATATATATATATATCCAGGTGGAACATAATAAATGCATAAATACATTTCATTTTGTTACAGTAGTATTACACTTACCTTCCCTGCCTTTATGATGAAAAACGTCTCACCAAGTTCACCTTCACGTATGATATATTCACCAGCCTCATAAAATACCTATTGAAAACCCATGAAAAATAAAAGTTGATATACGAGAAAAAATGATATTTAATATGTGCGAAAAACTTGGATACTGTAGTAGTACGTAATTCTGTAATTGTTTTATTAATTTATTTATTTGATATGTCACAGTGAAACAGTACCACATACTGGATGACCATAACTTATTGTTCATAGTCATAACTTTGAAAATCAATTTTTACAGTTTTCCGTTCTTTCTTCCCATTTATCCTCAGGTGTCCGAGGTAGGTGCAGAATCACTCCTATTGCACGTACTGTCAGCTGTTTAGATAAACAAATCTTAAGTTATCCATCTCTCCTTTGATCCAGCCACATAAGATTGCAGGACTGTCTCTGTGCATCAGTCTACTGTATGATTGTGTGAAACTGTTTGTAGTGATAGAGCCGAGCTTTCTTCTAGATTTTTTATCTTAACATTGTTTAGTAATCTAGATTTCTCCAAGTCTTCACGCCCTGATAATCAAACTGACACTGGTGTACTAATTTGACCTCCGTATCTGAACCTTAATTCATTACATGGCATTAGATAAAATAAATAATTTTATCTAGCAGACACGACAGGATCCTGTAACCAATGTAATGTTTCTAAGTTAGTTTGCGGGTTCAAATAAAACTTCATTTCTGCATTGTTAAATTACTGCCTAAAGTTTCCGATATTACTTCTTCATATGAATGCACCACGAATGTTTTAAATTTCCTCTTCTTGTTGATGTCATTCTCTACGTAAATATTTAGTGTGTATGCTATCCTTAACAGTCGTCTTATTCTTATAATTAAAACATTTTCGGATAAGTTCATGAGGTTAGTTGTTAAGTGGCAAGACTTCACTTATATGCCGCAATTTCTGCGTTATATTTTCTTTCGTACTCCTTGGGCTGCTTTGATCTCTTAGTCCAACATTCCATTAATTCTGTTTTTACTGGAAGGGATTCTAACCAGAGGTATCTGATTACCAAGCCTACGGTTACTAACTACAGTTTTCACATCCACTGTATTAAATTTTTCTGCTAATCTAAAGATATCTTAGTTTGATCATCCACATACACAATGAAATCGTAAAAAAATCATGCAAAACAAAAAACATTCATTTCTGTGTAATAATTCTAGTTAGGGAAATGTATTTTTCATGTCATCGTTACAAAACATATGTTATGCCTGTACATACTTCTTAAGTTTCATTATTCGCTGTCATTATGTCAGTGCTGTTTGTACACGTGACACCCTTTTTGAACAGGCAGTTGCTACTGAAAGTCAGTAGCAAAAGCAATAATAGTATGGTGTTTAAAGTCATAGATATTGGCTTTTAAATTTCATTAGGAGCATCAACACACTAAGATACAGACACAACAAGCTGAGTGATAAAAATGGATCAAAACACTATGACATCTGGGTAATTCAGTTTATACCACCCATTTCATCTGGTTCTTTAAAAACAAATGAATAGGTTTTTTCCCTACTGCTCACGAAAACTTTGTTCTACAGTATCCAACGTAGTATAACCTTCCTCAAGCATATTATTTATTCTGCAAAACACTTAATGTTCAACAATTGAGTGCTAGATAGTGTTTTTGATATTCCATATAAGTACTAACCTAGAGTTTATTTAAAAATCGTAACCGTACACCTGCTATGGCATTACAAAAGAAATAAAGTTTCACTATTCAAAGTGACAATTATTACATTCGTTACTACACCTTTATTTGTTTGTTTATTTAAACAGCTGTGAATTTTCCAACATCAATTGCTTTTATATCAGTCTTTTACAGAAATTTTAAATGGTTAAAACGTTATCATTTTTCTTATTTTAAATTATCGACTGTAAATTTTCACTGACTCTTTCCTAATTAGGGTGACAACATTGCAAGAAGTGATTACTACTGAACACGTGTCTTATAGACTAACCAATATAGGATAAATTTCATAGTCCAGCTTGGATCTGCTGAAGACATTGAGGAAAGTAGACAGAAAACCTGAATCTACTAGATGAGCCATGACATATATAGTGAACATGACCCAATCTGATTTCATTTGCCAAAAATTTCATCCCACTGTCATCTGCACCAACAATCACTATTACTCTGACTTTCAAAGTAAATTGTCTTGTCATATATTTAGGGCCTGTGTTTGACATTTTATGACAGAAACCTATCTTAAGTGTATTTCTCAGCGAAAAATAAGCTTTTTTCCCATTTTGATTGCTTATCACGTATATACAGTGGAACACATTTGAAAATGCATTCAGTGAAAGTAATTTCCCTAGTTGAATTTTTCATCATATTAATCTACATATTCATATAAGCATAAGCAGAATGCGACTAAAAAATTCGTGATCAGAATATTTTATAACAATACTTTTCTTAATTTATTCTGCTAATTTATGAGTGGTTTGACCCCCCCTTTTAAATATATCTCAAACACTTCGTGTCTTACTTTACTCTACACAAACTTCCGTGACAGGCGGAATGCGTATGGTCAGATGTATGTTGCCTAATTTACACTACACAAATCAGGTGAACTGCATTTCTTCATTGTCTTGTGTAAATTTGTAAGGAAAAATAGATTTCCTAAGTTGCTACCTGTTTGTGTGTTAAAACTGTTGAAGGTCATTCATTCCTTTCACATATGTTTCATTGGTGCACAACGCCGAGGCTAAATCACACTATTCACGGAACTCCCCTAGTATAGTATGTAATTTGGATACACATAAGGCAACAGTTCTGTATTCTTGAGACAATTCAGCTGTATAAAATTTGCTACTTCTTTGCAATGTCAGATAGGCAGTCAGCACCGATATTCAATTTGTAGTGAAAAATCCGGTTGTCCTTCAAAGAAAACTTAGTAGAATCATAGAAACTAGTCACGTGTAAGCTTTGCCTCTGAATCCTTCTATAGTAAAACAATCCTAAGTAATGTTATGCGTTACACATTCCACAAATTGCCAAAAGTTGACCGATTTTAAGTGAACCCCAGTGTTCAACCCAACAACAGCACCTCAACAATTCACACCAAAGAGGTAGTTATTCCACAACTTAAGAGTTAAAGAAGCATGATCTAAAATACTACGCGAATTAAAAAAGTAAACTTCTTAAATTCACATTGTGGTTAACAACGAGATCTCCTCAACTGAAACATCCAGTCCAGAGAACGCAGCCATAAAACATCCACCTGAGATACAAATTATCGCTTTTATTATTCTTTTTCTAATGTGCTAAATTTACTTCCAAGGACAGTAACACTGAAGATAACTCCTGAGTTCACACTGAAAACTCTACTATACAACAGTGAAATGCTGGGCGATCAAGAGGACTACCATGTGACAGAAGTTTTCCATTGAAAATTCGATTACTGAAATCAGCTGAGAAGTGACTCCACCTGAAATGAACAATAATCAGACCTATCTGACAGCTTATCAGTCAATAAAGTGTACGAAAAGAACCACTTTTGAACAGTTACAGTTATGCATCAGAAGTAGATTGTGTCTACACAAATGATAGATAAACGGTTTCCTGAAGAAGAACACCTGACTGTCAGTGTCATATTCATCAGCTTTTTTTCTTAGTGCAATCAACCATTAAACAAGTGAATTAGAAACCGTTTGAATGATTTAAAGTCAATGACGACTAATCCCAGTGACTCTTATTTATAGATCGTCCATTCAAGTATGCTTGTTAGAAAGTGATCCTAATACAATTATAATTAAGTCTAATTAAAATTACAATGAAATTATCTCTTCAGAGAGAGAGAGATAAAGACAGAGAAATAAAAATAAATTCACCTTAAATTTGAAATGTACTTTACATACGATATTGATTTCATACGTTAAAACTTGTTTATTATCAACATTTTTATTTTCTTATAAACTTACTGGTTCTAAGACATCAGCTAATTTTTTCATTTTTTCAGCGGATAAATTTTTCAGCGCAGGAACACTTTGTGGAGAAAAGAGCAAAACAAGAATAAGTAGAAGAAAATATGGTTTAACTAACAGCTTTGGTTATTTAAGCAACTTATTTTGCAAGTATTATACGTTATAAGCGCGAAAATTCTTCATGTAATATTCACACAAATAACGGAGTGAAACGGTATTAGTTATTTAAGGAGGATACTGTTTGCCAATTAGAGATTAGAGAGAGATTTTAGATGGCATTACTATCACTACCTACTGAGCATTTGGACCTTAGAAAGCTGACTGAAGTGAAAACTGTCAGCCATTCTCTACTAAATCATTACTTCAAAAACTGGTCTGTTCACCTGAAAGCTTAAGCGATAAGCAAGTAAGCATACACAGCATAGAATCAGGTATCATTCTTTGTGTTGCTGTAGATTAAAGTTTACAGCCTCATATAAACCGGTTAAATTCTCAAGAATATGGATTGTTGGTTAAAATCAGCTACCATCTTTCACTCTCAATAATGGCTTGGATGATAGTTAACTTTGACACTAAAAACATCTAAATCACCGACAACCATCACATTCTTAGAAGATTTCAGTGAGTTTTCGGGACACTGGTGAGAAAATGAGCTCATCGCATACAAAAGAGAGATTAAGTTTGCATCCTCAACTCACTGATATTTACTATTCTTAGTTAGATTAGCCATACGAGTCTTATGAGAAGAAAACAAACAATTTTAGCCGTCTCATTTATCACTATCTTACGCACACGGTTCTATTGCTTATGAGTAATGCTTGAAGTTCACATATGCATTCACAAACCCATATAGTGTAGAATAGTAATTTTCAGAGTTTCAGGAAAAAGAGCGAGATAAACACAAACAGAATAATAATGAATTGTTGGTATTAGATAATTGAAGGGAATCGACAGGAAGTCTTGGATCGAGGTTTCGTGCTAGTTGGTACTCGTCAGTTGAGCTTATCTGCAACCTCGGAGGAACACTCATGTCCCTTCTGTGATTCCAACCTGCGTCACCCAGTGCTGCAGTCAGAGACGTTTCCACTGAAGCGAAGATAGGACTGGACATATCACACTAGTTACTGACTAATGTCCAATCAAGAACAATAATGAACAAACATAATTCTGAAAGAGACAATGATTAATTGAAAATTATCGGAAATGCTGGGAAGATGAAGGAATTTGATAATTTGCTAATGAATTAGAACTACCACTAAGATACTTTTAAGATGGTAGGGTTAGAATAGTGAGGATCATAATTAAACAGTATACATCTTTGCCATATACTTAAGACTGGTACTCATCAACCTCATGAACTTCAAGTCATGTTTCGATCTGATCATTGTTGGCTAACCTGACTCCACTTCAACTCATATTTTTCGTAGATAGAAACAGCAACTGGACCTTTTAACTCATCTTATCATTAGTTATTGTGATTCTTCACTACACAGAAATCTAAGCAAACAGTCATCGATTAAAGCATAGTAGATACCTAATGATGCTCACTTTTTAATGATTCCCAGTGTGTGTTGTATATGTTATGGACAAATAATCATTTCAATCGATCGAATACTGATTATTAAGTTTACCTATGTAACTGAAATGTTTACAATTCATCATTACTTAATAAGATCGGAACTATTCACCTTGTTCAATGAGACAAATAGGTTTAATTTCGCCTACTTTGACAGCATATTCAATCGATATGCACTCACTACTGATAAACAATGCATACTTAGAATACCATATACACAGGAGGTGTATCGCTTCGAAAATAATAATCTTCAAATCACAAAAATGCAACAATTTAATTTATTCTTTAAGCAAGCCTACTAGAAAAAGAAAACCCACATTTTATTTCTGTTAACTCAGCAAACAAAAGCAACAGTTTCCAAGGTAAAAAAGAGAATATTTATAATCTAACATGCACTGTTTTTTTTTATTTCAAGGCACGCAGGCATTATTAACAGAGAAACGCAAACATGCACACACACGCACACATTTACTTTTACAGACAGTTTCCTTCCCAGAATAAAATCATATGATATGATATTATTCTGAGTGAACAGACTATGCTTGATTTTAAAATGGAATATCGTTGAGTAAAGAAATCGCTTCATCAGAACAAAATAACAACTGTTGATTTTTTTCATTCGGCTGTATGTTAATTAGTTAGATTATTGATTCTTTCTTGAACTTACTTTTTAATAAGAACCACAGGATTGCATGAAAATTCATATCTGATTAAAAATGCCTATTAAAATTTTTCAAAAGAGAATGGTTACTGAACAAAGAATATTCTTCTCGATAACTTCATCATCAGGTTCTACAATTGTATATACATGATAGTCTGTCTGTCTGGATTCAACATAGAACTTGGCACCGAAGTGCAGCAGTTCGAGTTGCCACCTTCCAAATAGCACACAGAGGTAGACAAGAAGATGAGTGAAGAGAATCAATACAGTCTGACAAGTATAAGAGTGAAACAGAATGGGTAATTGTAGAAAGGAATATGAAAGATTACACAGACTGAATACATCTGCGCTGGCCATTGACAACGATTTTGAGCCATGTCACCTATTGTCTCCAGCCATTGATTCCTAGAGTCCCGAGGGCCCCAACCCGGGAGTCTGCATCTCCCTACCTGACTCAGTTTAACTGTCAAGGATTTCATGGATTGATGCCATGTTTTCGTTTGGCCACCACTGGCTCTTTTCCAACCTGAACCTATATCAGCTAGCAAAGCCCGTCGGGGGAGGCGGTGGTTAGGCATGCGCAGCACGTGACCTAGCCATCTTAGTTTATGTAACTTTATAGCCTCGTCGATTGATTTTCCCTGTTTGCCCAACACTCTACGCCTAACGTCAACATTACTTACCTTGTGAAACCACCTAACGTGAGACAGAGATCGCAGACATCTATGATCGAAAGCAGTCAACCTTTTCATGTCTTCAACGCGTATTGGCCATGTTTCAGAGCCATAGAGAAGGACGGAGCGAACTGATGAGCAGTACACACGTCCCTTGGTTGATAGCCAGCCGGATGTCACGCCTACGCCAGAGATGGTGTAAGTCAGCGAAAGCAGCTCGAGCTTTTCGGATCCGTGCTGAGATTTCATCGCCAATCAGTCCGTTGGTGCTGATACAACTTCCCAAGTAGGTGAAGTGGTCAACATGATAGTAAATGAAATAGTGCTATCAACAACATTAATGTCGTTGTTTAAATAACACCGAATCAATAATAATAATAATGTCAATGGATTATAGTCTGGTAGCATCAACATAACAATATACTGAGTATCAGAGAAATTATGTATGTGATGTATGTTTGTGATGGTTGAATAAGTAGAAATAAGCTTAAATATTCTCCACGAAGACTTTTATCAAATTAGGAGAAATAATAGAAATACAGATTCATGAATTTATAGTTTTCACTGAAGGCCAGGTCAGTAGTAATGGCTGGACTTGCTTTTTTGCACACACAGAGTACTGGTTGTTTCATGCAAATCGCGGCAGCCTCTGCTGTCTGGAGTGGAACTATGAACTACTGATAGACTATTCTCCATCGGTAAATGAGAAGCCTTTACATAAACGACTGCAATTCAATGGTTATGAGCTTACTGAAATAAACAGTAACAAATGAAGAAAATCTGTTCAAAGAACTTTTAATGCTAGTTAACTACAAGTGATGTTTTCTAGAGGACCGATGGCGATTCCTCGATTGAAAGATGAAGTAACTAGACTAGCCACTTCTAATTGTATCTACCAATTCAAATGTGCTTGTGAATCGAGTTATATTCCCCGTTGCTTGCCACCAGCATCTTGAGAACATCTACCAGTGTGGCTAAGTAAAGGTGTAGCAAAAACCATCAACAGTTCCATATTAGACCACCTGGTCCCAAGCGACCACAAATCAAGCATTGAAGAATCCTTCTCTATTATCTATCAGGTACCAAATAAATTGCCAAAAGCATCCAGGTACCGCATAATCCAGACAGCAGAGGCTGCCGCGATTTGCATGAAACAACCAGTACTCTGTGTGTGCAAAAAAGCAAGTCCAGCCATTACTACTGACCTGGCCTTCAGTGAAAACTATAAATTCATGAATCTGTATTTCTATTATTTCTCCTAATTTGATAAAAGTCTTCGTGGAGAATATTTAAGCTTATTTCTACTTATTCAACCATCACAAACATACATCACATACATAATTTCTCTGATACTCAGTATATTGTTATGTTGATGCTACCAGACTATAATCCATTGACATTATTATTATTATTGATTCGGTGTTATTTAAACAACGACATTAATGTTGTTGATAGCACTATTTCATTTACTATGATGTATATACAATTGTAGAACCTGATGATGAAATTATCGAGAAGAATATTCTTTGTTCAGTAACCATTCTCTTTTGAAAAATTCATATCTGAATATTTCACTCTTAAAACTAAGCCTCTGTCATAAATAGACTGTGTGATTATTTTCCAAGGTCTGGATTTTCTGTTGCATAGAGACTGTCATTGAAAAATCTATTCTTGTCATGTTCCATAACAGGCAGGAATCTCTTTGTAATTAGTATAACGGTTTTCATATATATATATATATATATATATATATATATATATATATATTAACTGTGCCATTTTGAAGCTTCACATAAGTCATTCGACAACCCACAGTTACCGTCATGCTTCTGTACTAAGACGTATGATGAAAAATTACAGTGGTATACTCATAAAAAATGCAAAACACCTTTTCAGTTAGAATCAAATTAAAAAATAATAACGTTGGCGTAAAATGAAAAGTTTGAGAGAATATTTGGCAAAAGTATTAAGAAGCAGTGAAGGTAAGAAAAACTTTTACAGGTACTATATTAATCATTCTTAAGTATTAGTGAAATACCTTTTAAAAGATTTTTCCCTGTTAATTCACCTGACATAAGAGTTTATCAGTTCTACTATTATTAATGATGCTTCTAAACCACTTAATACGCACTTATGCGTACGATTGACAT